AAAAAAAAAAAACAAATTAGCAAAAATATTGTAAACTTCCAAAGTCTACATTTGTTGAAAGATGAATATTTCTTTATATTCATTTYTCTCTTTTAATCCCAACACTACACCACGATGACTGCACATCTGCTGTCACTGTGTGTGGTCCCCAAAGGAAACCAAATTGTCAAAAATGTTGACAAACTGAAGTGGATATAAAGCATCCAGTGCTTAATGCTGACAGAACATGCAGAAATACTAGCTTAACATATTTGTTCAAACACTGAACTACAGAGACTCCTAGTGGTTTAATCCTGGTCTGGTGTGCCACTTGCATGACTGACCACTTTAATCAAACCAGACACMCCACACACTCCAAAATAGCACAAAAATCCCCACTGTGAGTTCACCTCAGAAAAAAAAAAAAAAAACACAGACAAACATCACCTTTCCAGAATGGTTATTGAAAAAGTATCACACTCAGAAAGATGCAGGCGATAATGTTAACAGCTCTCACACCACAACCCTGTCGCACTTTCACACAAAATAGATAAAAAATAAATAAATAAAAACAGGTAAATCCCCAAGTTCAAACATTACTCTCAAATATTTATTCCTATTCCTGATTTCAAAGCACCAACATGACATTTACGAACATAACACTGAATATAAAATAAAACGTTTCAGATTTTGCACTAAATTGAATTTGAAAATCAGGATAATGTTTTGTTTGTCTTTTCAAATGAAATTTTAAAGTAAAAAAACAAATTATTTGTTGAAATATTTCTTCCACCAAGGTAGCCACACAGAAAACAACACCTCATGTAATTCTTTGCTCCAACACGTCTCATTAGGTGCCACAAAAATATGATCCATAGCCTCAAAACACACTCACCTCTGCAGATTATCAACTGTTTTTTTTGCACAAGTTTCAGAGTCTCTTGTGACAGTAAAGCTGTGAAGTGTCTGGGCTCGCTGTGTGTGTCCACAGTGCTGACCTGTCGCTGGCTGTCCAGCTGGAGGACTGAAAACCTCAACAATGATGTCCAACCCATAAAGCCCCGTCTGTGCCTGATGTTGTTTGTCCGATAAAAGCAAAAACAAAGGCATTCTATGGCTTGCAACTGTATTCATTGCCGGCCTCTCCAAAACTGAAACACATTCAGACACTTCAGCTGGCAGACAAAGCCATAAATCTGTGTCACATGCAGGATGGGCGGGCCAGAACAAATGGGGTGACAAGTGAGACCAGATCCACTGGACCCTTAATGGTATTTAACACTCAGTAACAGGGACAAACACCCGGAATGCTCTCAGGAGTGGAAAAGTTAGAGCAGCCTTACCTTATTTTTTCTGCTGCACTGTCAGACCTGCAGAGGAAAGAGACAGCTCAGTCATTTTAACTACATTCACTGCTTCATTATAAACAATAAACAAGTGATTAACTCTGTGTTGAAATAGTTCTTCACACTAGTTGTGGTGGATAATTAAAAACATTAATGACTTGTAGAATGACATCCAATAATTACTTCCTGAGAGTTTCTCTAAAATGTGTTGAATCTTGAAATTAATGCCGAACATTTAAGCACAGTCATTKCAAACTGTGTATAATTCAAAGCAAGTTGTGAATGACTCTCAGTCAATTTAACAGAAACTGAGCTAAAAGTATGATGTGGTGGAAACTAAGTTAAATAAATTTTTGTGTTGGCTTACGCTGATTTGCTGTGTTTGTCCGTGTTAAATAGCAGCAACTCTTAAAGTTAACCGGTTGAAGTTAACAGGTTTACTTTGAGAGTTTCATGAAAACCTGTCCTCTTGTTCAAGAGATATTTTGCTAACAGACAGATGGGATTGATGCCAACGGTTTGTATACATTTTCAAGTTTGCTATTAATGTTTAGCTGTGGCGACCATCTTGACCATCTTGAATGGGCCTGAACTCGTAAAGTTAATCGGGTAGGGGAACACGGGAATGTGCAATCGGCTGTAGCTAACCATTTAATAAAACCTTTGAGAGTTTTATCCAAATGTGTCCAGTTGTCAATATGATATACTTTGCTGAACCTACAGACAAACATACATGCTAACCCTGACCCCTTACCCTAAATCTAACCTCACAGGTATATAGCTGACCCAAAACCCAACCTAAACTCAATGAACCCCTGACCCACCAATGGTATTTCACCCAATGGGGGCTTTTGTCCCCATAAGAAACAAGGGGTCCTCACCAGGCTGTGTGTACTGGGAAAATGGTCAAAAATAGTCCCCACCAGGGAGCAAAAACATGCACACACACGCACACACACGCACACACACACACACACACGCACGCACGCACACACACACACACACACACACACACACACAC